ACAACAATAACAACAACAACAATAATAATAGATCAGTGGGTGCAGCAAAATTTCACAAACTGACTACATACAATGTCATGACCACATTGCTAAGATCATTCACTGGAAATTGTGCCAAAATTTTGGAATTGAGTGCAGCAAAAACCACTGGGACCATCAGGTTGAGAAGGTTTTAGAGAATGAGAAAGTCAAGATCTTGTGGGACTTCAGAATCCAGACTGACAGGCACTTGGCCCACAACACACCTGACATAATAGTTGAAAAGAAAAAAGTTAAAAGATACCTAGGATGCTGGCAGCAAACCATATCAACCATTAGCACCATTCAATGGTATTTGTGACGCATCTTTAAATGTTTCAGTTGGCTGTCTCATGTTTAAGGAATAAAATATATAATAACAACAATAATAATTAATAGATGGGTGCGGCCAGTCAGGAAACACTTAATTCGCTTAAGTGCAAATTGTGTGTGCGATAGCTGGCACGTGCAGTTCTTTCAAATGCTAAGCCTCTGCCAAGCCTCTTGTTTTTGGTTGTGGGAAGATGGATGCGCCACAATTAGTTGTGAACATCTAATTGCGCTTCGGGGCTCTCCCACCCCCCCCTTCAGAAGAGCTCCTGTTGCAAATAACACACCGCTTTTGCTTAACGATTGCTCAAACCCAAACCTCGCTGCAGAAACTGCCACGTTGCAACAAGGGGTTTGCAGCGTCCTCGCTCTTCCAGAGGCTGACTCGGGGAGCCTCCCTACTGCCCATCTGGCCGCCAGATGTGACCGGGAGCTGCATCTGTTTGCTTTTCTTCCCTGGAATCAGATGCAACAGTGCGGAGAAGGTTGCCAGCAACCTAGCCTTGGCCTTGGCGGATGCTGGGAACAGAGTGAGCTGGGCTTTGTATTGGGGATTGTATTTCTTGCCTGGCCCATTGCGAGCCCCTTTTGTCTGAAATCAAACTTTTTTGGAAGATTCGAAAAGTGCTGGGATCTTTTTCCCGTGGTGGAGTTGCAAATCTGTCTTTTTCCCCAGGAGGCAACTGAATGTAATTTTGAATAGAATAGCAAAGTTGGAAGGGACCTTGGAGGTCTTCTAGTCTAACCCCCTGCCTAGGCAGGAAACCCTACACCCCTTCAGAAAATGGATATCCAACATCTTCTTAAAAACTCCCAGAATAGAATAGAATGGAATAGAATAGAATATGGAATGGAATGGAATAGAATATGGAATGAAATGGAATGAAATAGAATATGGAATGGAATAGAATAGAATATGGAGTGGAGTGGAGTGGAATGGAATAGAATATGGAATGAAATGGAATGGAATAGAATAGAATATTTAATGGAATGGAATAGAATAGAATATGGAATGGAATAGAATAGAATATTTAATGGAATGGAATAGAATAGAATATGGAATGGAATAGAATAGAATATTTAATGGAATGGAATAGAATAGAATATG